CGATGCAGACTGGTGCTTTCCTTACCTTTGGTTAGTAGGGAAGAATGGTAGCAAAAGCAGTTATAATTAAACCCCATTCCTCCATTCCCTACCAACCAAAGGTAAGCTTCGGAGTCTGCGTTGGGTCGTTCCGCTTCGCTGCAGCTGTTTTCTTCGGCATGTGCTGCTGCAGTTATCGGCTCCTGATACCTGAAGAGTAACGAGGGATGCCAGAATCGTGGAAGGGTGTTGAAAGGCTTCAAGGGCTTCAACAACTTGTTATAAGGAGTCGCACTCATCGATTTTTCGCGCAAGGAGTTTGATTCGTCTCTGAGCTGTTTGTCAAGCTTGCCTGCTTCTGGTTGCAAAGATTGGCGTGCAATGAGTCCGGGCCTGAGATATCACCGAGCCTTTGCATCAGCTGCTACGTCTAGAAACTGCAGAGCCCTGAGATGCCCCTGAGATGGTTGAAAGCAACTGCCATCAGGCGAGCCGAAGCGCACGACAGTTCGCCAGAGGTGGGCAGGACTCTAGGATTCGTCGGTTCTTGTTGTTAAAGGCTTATAGGGGTTAGGTTGTCATGGCCCTGGGATGCGGGGTTCGAGGATAGTTGTTGTGGTGTTTCCTGCGCTGTCTTGGTCGCGACTCGTGACTACACAGATTCAGCGTCCCCTAGCCTGACATACAGTAGCGGCTGGAAAAATGCCAGTATTATTCTTGAGTCTTGAGGGCTCGAATTGTAAACGGTACTTTAAACTTATTCTACCCGACTCCACCCCAAAACCCTAGGATTATGAGACCTCCACATTCAGCAGTGGACCCCAGGGAACCCAGGTAGGGGAGGCCCGGGCCTTCGGCGTCTTCACAACCACATGAGAACGATACACATTGGATACCTCATAGGGATCCTTAGGGGTGTAGGGGGAGGGGGGGTAGGGCCTAGGGGGCCTTAAGGCCCATAATAAGGACTAATAAGGCTTATTTAAGGAAATATAGTCCCCTACACCCCTCCCCCCTACACCCCTAAGGATCCCTACGAATACCCTGTCACCGAGGCCTCCGCCCAGCAAAGCCAAAGATGTAATTGTTCCCAGCAATATGGGAGTGTCCGAAAAGTGGGGGTAGCTTATTTTGTGGTCCTTACAACAAGGATCCTACTATTTAGGGTAGTACATTAGGGTCCCCTGTTTTCGGAAATTCCCATATAGACTTACTCCGCATGCTAGCGCTCAGCACAGTCTTCTGAAAGTACTGCGCCATTGAGTGGTCCCGAAACTTCGGAGCTCATGTCCAAGGTCCAGAAGCCCACAACCCTAAAACCTAAAACCTAAACGTCCCGAAGCCCACTCACCCCCTTATGGCAAAAGCCAGAAAGTTGGAATATGATTATCCTATCCCTTCCATGGTAAATTATAGGGTATCCTACCATGAAACCATATTCCAACTTTCTGGAGTTCCCCTTAACTACATCCTTAGACCCTTAATCCCACACGAAACGAAAATATTCGGCTCTAAGCCCTGAACCCCAAAAGCCGTATAGTAGCCCTACATACGACATACACACACACACGTGTATATGTATACATATAGACATAGACAGATAGGTATATACTTATATATGATGGCTTTAACTAAGCCTAGCAGGAATTCGATTGCCCTACGAAAGTTGCAGGCCCAAAGCCTGGAAAACTCACAACTCGAAGGCTCTCAGTGGCTCCCCCGACTCCTCCGAGCCCGCACGCATCCCACGCCCCTCGCCTTTTTCCAGTGCATCTTAGGCGGATTGGGGTTTAGGGCTTAGGGCGTTTAGGGATTTAGGGACCCAGACCTTCCAAAATCCCTTAATTAAGGAATATACCTTAAGTCATAATTTAGGATCCTAGTATAATTTAAGGTATATTCCTTAATTAAGGGATTTTGGAAGGTCTGGGGATGTTCAGGGTTCAGGGCCTCCTCGAGCGGCGCATTAAATACACAACTTTTTCGGGTGGCATTGTGACGTTAAGTTTGCGGTTACATAGACTCATAGACCCAAGGCTCTCGCTTAGTGTCACAGGACACACAGGGCTTCTTACAGGGTTATGTGTGTGTTTGTGGTGTTGATGCGATTACGTCTTTCCTTCAGTGCATACTTGTGGGCGTGTATGAGTGTGCACACACACACACTTACATTGATGCGTATGTGCATACACATGTAGTGATATATCTGACATTCAAAAATCGTGTATATGTACATGCAAACACAAACGTGTATATGTGAGTACGTGGGTGTGCATGTAATTATGATGTTTATGCAGATCGGTAGATTGATAGCAATAGGTAGATGTGTAAATATGTAGATGAATACACGTTAGGTCACACAATGTCATACAAGAAAGCTTGCACAAGCAAAATATTGATCGTTTTTGAGGGCTCAAGAGTTTATGGGCTTGCTCGTATCCCCCAAAAGGAAGGCCCAATACACACAATACGATGTTCCCCAGTAGCCCTATATGCAGAAAGTTCGAAGTGATGACAACCCGAATTAGGGTTGTTTGGGCTTAAACCCTAAACCCTAAACCCTGAACCCTAAACCCCTAAACCTTTGCGTACCGAGGTGTGGGTTTAGGAGCCCGAACTTGCGGCTCGTGTCTCGTGCAGGTACGGGCGTAGGGTTCAGGTAAGGCATCCTGATCCCTCCTACTTGGAGGATCAGGGGACTTAGTAACTTAGGTTATAAGTACCTGAATTGGGATTGTTAGGTAATTATATGTATAGCTACCTAATTTATAACCGTAGTTTCTAAGTCCCATGATCCTTTAAGTACTTCCTGACCCACCAATTTCCGTAAGGCAAGAAGCACGAATCTTGAACTCAATCTGTGAACTCTGAACCCGACGCCAAGACCGCCAAATTAGGGTTTAGGGTCTATAGGGTTTTAGGGTTTTAGGGTTTAGGGTTTTAGGGTTTTAGGGTTTAGGGTTTAGGGTTTTAGGGTTTAGGGTTCAGGGTTTTAGGGTTTTAGGGTTTTAGGGTTTAGGGTTAGAATGGGCTTGCTTCTGATTCTCCGTCTCTGGTTGTCAGAGTCGGCTGAGGTGAAACTGGCTGTCGGAGACAAGGCAGGTTTGGGATACAGGAGTCTCAGGCAATTTGCGAGAGGTTCTTGCAGGGTAATTACATATGTTGGGTACTTCTAGATTCTGGGGCAGTGCAGGAGCCAGCGTTCCCAGGCGTGTTATTCCTGCATGATATCTTTCTGAGGTTTCTGTTGACTGAACATGTATATATTCCCAACGTGTGAGAGATTCGCGGTGGGGTCTGTTGTATTGTCAGGTTTTGCCGTTGGGAACAAAGTCCGCTGCAGGTCAGGCTTGGTTTCCCTAAACCCGAAAGCCTAAACCCCTAAACCCCAAACCCCTAAACTTAAACCCTAAACCCTAAAGGCCCTAATAGGGCTTACGGCCTCGAGCTAGGATTTTTAAAGGTACCCTATAGATCCCTTTAAGGAACCCTATAGTTCCCTTTAAGGTATTTGCAGTTGCGGCTCTTGTGGTTTCATGCCGGGGCTCCGCCAGGCACCTCATGCGAAGCAATTGAGGCGTTGCTTGATGTTAAGTTGTTGGGTGGGTGTATATGGGAGTTTCCGAAAATAGGGGCCTTAATATTGTACCCTAAATAGTAGGACCCAAAAATACGATACCCCGAATTTGCAGAGACTCCCATATAGTGCTGCCTTTGAATATTGGTGTGGGTTTCTGCTGGGCTTAGCATGGGGATACTTGTGACATAGAGACAAGCAACAGTGCCAACTTTGTCGCAAGTCGTAGCTCTGTAAGTATAGGTCTCAATGTTCCAGGGACCAGCTTGGATTCCTAAACCCCCTAATTGGATTTAGGGTTTAGGGTGGAGGTTCATGGGTAGTTGTAGGGTGGAGTATGGTCTACAATCGTAGTTAACCCAATTATGCTAAGCGCCACTATTAACTACCCATGAACCTCCAAGTAGCCACCGGCAGATGACCAGGTGCACATCGGGGACAACGAACAATACATCGGCGAAGTCAAGTTCATAGGCTCGGTGTTTGTTAAGTGTATGAATGTGTGTGTGTGTGTGTTTGTGTGTGTGTGTGTCTGTCTGTGTGTGTGTGTGTGTTTGTTTGTTTGTGTGTGTGTGTGTGTGCGTGTGCTTCTGCATCTAGAAACATAGCTAGCCGGACTCCTATTCTCTCTGCTGCGATACGGACCGTGGGCACACCTATTCCTGAACTTTTTTGCAGGATCGTCTTCAGTTGCAACCCTAAACCCTGTCCCAGACCCAGAGTATCGTTCGAGATTTGGAGTATCCACCGACACTTGCTCGTCCGAAGGTGAGATTTGTCTGCCGATCCTGTGAGAGCAAGAACCGCACTTATAGGGCTTCATCCGTACTAACTTATGCTAATTATTCCTTACGGTCCTCGAATGTCAGGGATTGGTGCTTGAAGTATGATATACGATCTGTGTCAGTGTCCTTACTAAACAGCCATAGCATAATCTAGCCCAGTACCCTACTATAATTGTGAAGGCTTCCTTTTTCGTTGACTCAACGAGCCCCTCCTTCGGACCTATCTCGTCCAGCAGAAGCGAGGTGTTTATGGAGATCTGAGGGTTTAGGGTTTGGGGTTTGGGGTTTTTGGTTTAGGGTTATTGAGGTCTGAGCAGGTTCAAATTGACGTCGATGCAGGGGTCAGAAAAATCACGAATACCGTTTAGAAACCTTACGTACTGCCTATACTAAGTGCCAGGGGCCCCTCATGAGGTTGCATGTGATAGGATCGGCCCTTCGTGGAATGCGTGGCGCGAGCACTCCGCTCTTTTTCCTGACATTGGCTCAAAGCTTGCCCACTCATGAAGGGCCGAAAGGCCATGAAACCACAAGCTGTTGGTTATCTGCCTGTAAAGATGCGACAGCGGCCCCGAGCTTCAATGATTCCACCCACCCAACTTCCTTCGTTTGTCGTCCCAAGTACTTTGTCAAAACTGCGTCGAGAGCTGCCAGCCATGATGCCGCTGATGGCTTTGGCTAAGCAGGCGGCTGTCAGACGATTAAACCCTAGTATGCAATATACCCTTAGGGCCTAAGATATCTGCTTTATTAGTACGTGGAGCCTTTGGGTTCTGAAAGACCCACAGGAACAGGCTGCAGGCATGTGTGCAACGATTGTTCCAGGAGCAATGTTTTTCATGCGTTGCTTGCGAAAGGACAACGATCTTTACGAAATCGAACATAAAGTTCATAGAATGGCTAGGCCTAGCTTTGTTTTGACAGCAGTCAACTCAACATCCGGGTATACCTTGTTGTTTGTCCTGTGTTGTGTTGCATGGTGTTTTGTGAATTCCGATGCTTTTGTGCAAGGGCGTAACTAGTGTGTGCTATGCTTCCAGATTCTGCGGCGCCCAGCCACAATTCATTTCAACGATGGCGATGAACGGAAGCCCTGAATGAACGCGGCGTGGATCCTAACTCACCACATCTAGGATGCCCAGTAGTACCCTTATTCCTTTTTTGTAGTCCTAGGTTCCTTATAGCGCTTGAAGTGAAGGTTCCTTATAAAGTTACCCAATACCAAAAAGAGAGGCCTTTTTATTCTTAGGTTACTGGGTATCCTAGAACCTGTGAAAGCAATTGGAGTCCAAGGGCTTGTCAGGTTCGGGACACCCGATACTAAACCCCGAAAGGAACCCTTGTAGAACCCTCGAAAGCTACTAAACTAGGGTTCCTTATGGCCCGTTTACAGGGTACCATAAGATAGGGTTCTCCCTACGAGGAACCCTTCAAAGCAACCCCTCACTTACAGGAAGCCTTACTAAAAGAACTTGAGTCTGATTTCTTAAGGGTTTAGGGTTTAGGGTATAAGATTCTGTCAGGTTCGGGACACCCATGCTGACGAGAAGACGCTCCCGGAGACAGCGCATGCACAGAAGGCCCGCTGCAAAGCATTCAGGGCAATTAGCTAGGGTGTTAAGCTCAGCGTTATATAGGGTTTACCTAGACACCTAAACCCCCATTGACCCTCTAACATACCCTGAATACGAACAATATAAGGCCTCCATTAGAAGGCACTTGAAGGGTCCTGACAGGACTTTGATGATATAGGGGCCTTGATAATTAGAATAGGGTTTTGGGGCCCATTTTATGATTCTCACAAAAAGGAATTGCCCAAAAACAGTATGGGTAATTATCTCCAGCCAAATCTTCTCTGGCTTTCAGATATTTCTCAAATTGCTATAGGGGCTTAAATAATTGACTATACTATTCCTGGGGGTTCCTTATTATACTTATATTATAATGTGCCCCCGAACCCTGTTCTAATTATTACGGCCCCTTACAGTTAGGGTTTAGTGGTAGGGTTTAGGGTACCCGCTACCTAAGAGTGGGTTACTAGGTTCATACGTATCCTCATGGACCCGTTGATCAATATTGGATGTGGGCCTTTGATTCCGGCTTTTTGTGCCTGAAGGCATCCAGGAGAAATGGGGACTGAGATGTTGTTCCGGTGGCAAGTTCTTATCGAAGGCACAAACTGAAAGCTTTCTTCATCTGGAGCCACTCTGTCCCATGTTTCAGGTCTTGGCCACGCGAGCGGAGCTGCTGCGGGACAATTGGCCAGTGGACGATGATGTGGTGCCCGGAGGGTGCTATAGAAGGCTTTGGAGGGCGTTCTATCGGGGCAAGCAGTGGTGAGAGTCCTCCTGCTAGCAGGAACCCTGCATACTCGCATTGTTGGTCGCTTTCGAAACCTGTGAGTACACATTAGCTTGAGTTTGGGGTCCGTACGACATGGCAACGAGGCCCACAATTGTAAGGGATTTGCACTCAACAAACTCTCACAATGTGACGTGATGCCGTGAGAGGAACCTCGATGAGAACAGGCCAGGGGCTTGATAATTACCGAGACAATGTCGGGGGTTCCTTATTAAAAAAGAGTATACTGGGCCCCAAAACCCTATTCTAATTATTAAGGCCCCTATATTATGGTACCCTTATAGATCCCTTCTAGTGCCCCCTTTAAAGGGACTCTCTTCTAACGATTAAGGCCCCTATATTAGAATGTTCCAGAAATGACGATACAAGCGTCCTTGGAGCGAAGCCGGAGCAAAGTAGTCTTCAATCTCATGCTCTTGAGAGTGAGGGGAGATCTCACTACTTGAAGGATCAGGGGACTTAGTATGTTAGGGTTCTTAAACGGGTCCCTTACAGGGTTTAGGGTTGATTAGGGTCTACTTGAAAGATCACGGGACTCAGTTAGGTTATAAGTACCTGAATTGGGGTTATGACTGAGCATAAGTATAGCTACCTATACTACTACTACTACTACTACTACTACTACTACTACTACTACTACTACTACTCCTACTACTAGTTACTAAGTCCCATGATCCTTGAAATACTGGGCATTCTCTCAAGAGCTCAGGTGCATGCAATGGCAGGCGCCCCTCGGCGGCAGTCTTCTTGCAAACATGTCTCTTGTTCTTAGCGTCCTTTCTGCCAGTGCCAAACCCCCACAGTCCATGTACCGAAATAGTATATAGATACTTCGGGCTATGTACCTATATAGGGACTACTTTAAGGCCAAAGTATATACTATTTGGGTACATGGACCCTCAGGGAAAATGGCCCTACTGACAAACGCGCATGTGGCGGTTCAGCGGGCGAGTATGTGCTGATTTGCACACGTGTGTCGGTCATTGTGGGCTTGGGTAACCGGTTTAGGGTTGAGGGTTAAGGGTTCAGGGTTCAGGGTTCAGGGTTGAGGGTTTAGGGTTGAGGGTTTAGGGTTGAGGGTTTACGGTTGAGGGTTTAGGGTTTTGGGTTGAGGATTGAGGGTTGAGGGTTTAGGGTGTAGGGAGGAAACACTCCTGCATCTCTCACACTAGCCGAGCACGGGCTCTGCATCCGACTGTGAAGCTCAGGGCCCCCAAAACGCTGCAAATGCCCGAAACACTCTGCAAGCTGCCCGAGGTCGATTTGAATGCCATCTTCCAATGCCTTGAGAGGAACCGGGTGAAGGAGCCTCTTAGCGGTTTAGGGTTTTGGGGTCTCATTCCTAGACCCTAAACCCTAAACCCTGCAAGTTTCACTTATCTGTCTCTGACGCAGGCAGTGCTGGTCCTCGACAGTCGAACGACCGAAGCTACGAAGGATCAAAAGCGCGGGGCGCTGCAGGCACGCGGTTTGTCTTAGGAGCCATACTCTGCCTCCCACTTAGAACTGCCATACTGCGACCGCATAGTGATCTTCTACAAGCTCGGGCTATACAGGCTTCTGCAAAGCTACCGCTCGCATGGTAGCGGAGCCTCTTTGAGAGGTTCCACGGAAAAACAGCCTTTGCAACGATCCAGGGAAAGTGGCCCAACGGTGAGGGGCATCGTTGGGAAACATGAGCGGCGACCATGAGAAGGAGTCTGCATCCAGCAGGTCCAAGGATGGTGTGCCATCTTGGAACGGAGAAGCTGCTACGTTTGTTGCCTATGAAGAGTCAGCCTGTCTATGGGAGCAGGGGCTGGTCTACAGCAAACGTTATACTGCAGCTCCGAGGCTCATGGCCGAGCTTACAGGAGCCGCCCGAAGGCTCGTGGCAGGAAAACCTGCCGAGGAGGTTGCCTTTGTCGGGGGTGTCCGGGTTCTTTTGAATTACCTGCGACGGACATTGGGCAAACCACAAGTGAATGAGGTCACAGACTTGCTTGGGAAGTACTTCAAGGGCACCAGACGGCGATCCGGGGAGACCATGAACGAGTACATCACGAGGAAAAGCGAGGCTTTCTTGAGGGTGAGCCAAGCGTTGAAGCGTGTGCAGCCACACTACAAGCAGCGCTCGACTCCCCTTGTGAGTCACCGCGGACGCCGTGACAGCGATCCTTGGAGTATGGGCTCATGGAGTCGACAGCCTACCGGTGGTCGCGATGATGATGGAGACGCCCCAGAGGCGGAGCCTCTCGATGAAGAGGCCGAGGACACCGGAACTACCACGACGAGAACCTCCTGGTGGGCAACGCCCACGGAGTGGAGCTGGCGCAGCAACTGGTCCAGCTGGGATTGGCAGTCTCAGGGGCGAGGAGACTGGTATGGAAACAGCTGGTGGGGCAGCAATGCCTCTACTTTCGGGGGCGTGCCCTCGACCTGGAGCGCTCCAGAGACGGTGGAGGATGAGTCATTGCTGCCGGCATTCATCCAGGGGTGGTATCTCCTGGCGGATGCAGCGTTGGACAGCGCCGAGCGGAACATCATTGCCACGGCCTTCCTCTAAGATCAGGTTAGGCTATTTTGGGACATATATCCTATTTGGCAAAAATAACCTATATAGGTTATTTATATAAATAAACTATAGGTTATTCTTCCGGTTATTCTATAGGTTATTTTATAGGTTATATCTGAAATAGCCTATTTCCTACTGTAGAATATAGCTTAGAAATTGCTTACTGTGTTTGTCAAACTAGCATCCAGTTTGATAGATTTTTGCATAGAACATTGAAATTGACATATTTTTCTAAGTGGCAGACCTTTGCTTGTGGTTGAAGGAATGTTTTTAGGGAACTCAGAAACAACTGCAAGAGAGGCCTCGACCGCTTGTTTGCGAAAGAATACATGGAAGCTTTGGAGCAAATTCCAGCCGTCTTTGAACAATCCAAGATCCCACAGCAGGCAGGAAACGACAACAGCATCGATCTTTTTAAGCTCTTCCTGGGAAGATTTCTCCAGTGTCCTGTGTTGTGCAACCGGAACGATGGTTGGCAGCAAGAAGTGTTTGCGATGCGAATTATATAGACCGTACGGGTTCGGTGCTTCAGGATCCATCTCTTTCGCAGTGATTTTCTCAGAAAAGCACAGCGACATCGACTGTTCACCAGCTTCGACCGGGTTTGCTGTACACAGTCGTCGGGATCCCACCAATCATCGCACGAGTCATAGTCAGAGGCATCACTGGTTGTTTTGGGCTCTGGACTCTTCCAATCCTCCCAACAATCTTCGCTCTCGTAGATCCACCCATAGTACCACGGCATGGTGCAGGGACTCCGGATCGGCCCAGTTTTGCAACCCTAAACCCTACAAACCCTAAACCCCTAAACCCTAAACCTTATAAACCCTAAGTTTAGAGGGGTAGCATAGAGCAGGCTTGAGGTTTTGCTTTGCACTTCCACAGTCGAGATGTTGGAAAGAAAAACGCATGCAAAGGTTTCTAGGTAGCAGAAAAAGAAAAAAAGCAGCATTTTGCTGCTGAACTCTGCCATGGCTGCCATGGATACCCGTCTGAAGTGCGACCCCCTGATAGCTGTGGGGGACCTGCAGAGGTGCTTCAGGGAGCAAGTCCGACGGGCTGACCTTTGGCACACGGTGCAATGTCCCCGTGGGGCTCAATGGTCATGGAAGACAGCCATCAATGTCGAATGGCTTTACCAGAGCCGCTACTTGCTACAGGACCTGCTTGGGGTCGCTCCGAATGCCGTTCTCCCGAGTGTCAAACTCCGAGCTGCAGTTCGCCGATGCCTCGAGACCCCGGAGCTGAGGATGTCCAAACACGGCATGGACGTGGAAACTTACACGGATGGCATCGACCAGAGGGTCCGTGTCCTGATGTCGCAACTTCGGGACTTGAAGAAGGACGATAAGTATTTCCCGGCAATGAGGAAAGCCAGCTTGGAGGAAAAGGAAGGTCTGGACAAGTTGCTGACCTTCTTGCAGGACCCTGCAAGTGCGAAAAAAACTCAGAAAGCCGAGGCGAGCCAACCTTCGACTTCCTCAGCTTCTGCCTCCACGGCTTTGGTACTGTGGCAGCCGCCAAAGGACCAGGCAGCAGGCAGCTCGGTCTTCAGTAGAATCCTCGCGAAAAAGGGCAGCGAGGAATCTGAGTTTCGAGCAGACCCGCCTAAAGCTTCGCCGAGCAAAAGGCTTCGAGCTTCGCAGCCTTTTCGTGTGCGAGCTCTTTGTTCTCCTCGGAAGAACCAGGCTTCGCCTCGGAAGCAGGCTTCGCCTCGGGAGGCGGCCTTGTCCGACGTGCTGGACAGTGAGGCGGCGAAGGCCGTAGATGAAGCTTTGGTGTCTTCGCCTACGAAGAAGAGGGCCTTGAAGAAACCAGCTGCTGCTTTCAAGAAACCAGCTGCTGCTACAAAGAAAAAGACCAAAAAAGCGCCGAAAACGGAGGAGGCTGCCACCGAGGAGGGAGAGAAAAAGAAGTTTAAAACTACCTTCAAGCACAGAAAAACGAGCCAGGCCTACCACCGGGAAAAGTGCCTTCAAGAGCGACTGGGCTTGTCTCCGCAGTCAGCGAAAAAGAAAGCCAGAGAGAAGATGCGGGAAGTGGCCGCCCTCATCGATTCTGGCAAGCTCGTCGAGACTGACTGAAACCTCTGGGTGGCGAGGAAAAAAATAGAAGTCTTTTTGGCGGGCAGGATTAATTGTTCGGGTTTTCCCAAAAGCTCAGGGTCCTTAGTTTTTCTTCACACTTGTGGTTTGGCAATAGATGTTCTGATATAGCATGAAACACCAAAAAAGTAGCACAGCGACGTGTAATGGAGATAGTTTTTACTTCGAAGGCACACAAGAAGCACCTCTATAAGTCACATATAATACACCTGATTGGCAGGCTCGGTTGCTACATATAGTCCCTAGGATTTAGGAGGCAGCTTTAAAAAAGGCGCCGAATCCGATTATGCAGCAGGCCCCAGCGGTTCCAAAATGTAGGATCTCTATGTAGCACAAAATCTAAGTACCAGCTTTTTGTCGACGTCCCAATCCATGTCGGTAGCAAAAACTTAAGTAACAGCTCTATCTAGGTCAGAATCCATTTATGTAGCCATATAAATCTAAGTAGCAGCTTTATCTAGCCCACCAACCATCTAGGAAGCCAAAATCCAAGTAACAGCTTTATCTAGGTCGTAATCCATTTAGGTAGCAAAATTCTAAGTAGCAGCTTTTTCTAGGTCGCAATGCTTTTGCTAGGTCGCAATCCATCTAGGTAGCAAAAATCTAAGTAGCAGTTTTTTCTAGGTCGCAATGCTTGTGCTAGGTCGCAATCCATCTAGGTAGCATAAATCTAAGTAGCAGCTTTTTCTAGGTCGCAATCCATCTCGAAATTTAACTTACATCTTTTAGGTCGCAATCCATTTAGGCAGCACAAAGGCGCTAGGAAGCAAGCCAGGTTTTCCCCTAACCTGAAGCCCTTCTGCAGCCCAGAGCCCGAAGAACTTTTCGGCCGTCGCTCGCTCCGATGGCTCGCAGGAGGAGAACCCAGAGAGGAGAGAGGCACAGCAGCCACGACAGAGACCTCACAAAACTGAAGCAGGGCAAACACAGCACTCGGTAGAAAGAGCACACTGCAGACACTAGCACACAGGGACCCCTGATTTAGGGTTTAAGGTTGAAGGTTCTAGGTTTCTTCTCACAGAAGCACCACACACACAGTAGTCTCCACTCAGCGGTTCTCCTTCCCCCGACAGGCCAAACACGTGGCCGCTGTGTAGGACCAGCAGACAGGCACACTTGCAGCCACTTTCCAACAGACGGACAAGCAGAGGCACACACACACACAGACACACTGAGACACACACGGAAACACCGACAGAAACACAGACACAGACACACGGACAACTGCAGACACAAACACACACACACACACACACACACACACACACACACACACACACACTTACTTGCTTAGTTACACACACACACACACACACACACACACTAACTAACTAGGCCAAAGTTCTAAGTAGCATGCTTCTCTAGGTAGCATCTCACGAGAGCCATAGCCATGGCCAACCTGCCGCCAGACCGCACGGTCTGGCTCGGCGGCCTTCCCTCCTGGCTGTCGTCGGAGGAGCTGTACCACTGGTGCTGCAGCACTACGTGGCCGGTGTATGCGGAGGTGGCTCCGAGTGGCCACTCGCTGACATTTGGCTATGTCATCTACAGCTCGCAGGAGGAAGCCGAAGAAGCCGTGACAGCTTTGCCTGCAGGTGTGGCTGGCTACCGGGTCAGCAAACGACCCTGGCAGGGCAAAGGCCAGG